GGGAGGGGACCCGCTTGCTTCTTAAGCATCAAGATTGAAGAAAAAATCTCCAAGTCCAACGGAAAGCTCTCGTCACAGAATAAGGAGATTGTCCCCACCAAGTTTCGAATGAAATTCAGGTGAAGCTGGTCGACCGTCACACCGAAGTGCTTCAAGACTTCGACAAAGAGGGGATGGAAAGGCAATCGCAGCAAGCTACTCCCGGAATATCACGATCTCATCAAGACCGTGTTCCAAAGGAAAGCTACCCGAAGGTATGAAATAAGCATACTCCCCGGGCAAGTTATAGTAAGTAATGAGGGATTGGAGCCCCTCGGGCGTCATGGTCGAAGGGCCAAACTTGTCTAACATCCGACCCCGATGAGAGGTGGACGCCAAGCTACCCGAAGCGCCACAGCCTACGAGCTCGAACTCTTCCTCGAGCTCTACCTCCGGCTCGCTAGGGCTATCGGGGAATGCAACTTGGTTCCTAGAACCTGCATCAGGCCCGCTGAAAGGACTATCTAAGCCATCCGAGCTAGACATCGTCAATGATGAGATCCAGGAAAGTACTCACCCGAACAAAAGCTGTAGACCACAGAAGCTCGAACGAAAGGAAGACCTTGAGCGCGAACTAAAGAAAACTGGATGCGAACTGGATGCGAGCTGAAACTCAGACGTGAGCTCGATGCAGAAGTGACAACGGCTAGATCAAAGCCAATCCGACGGGCAACAGCTATTTATGCTCACGGTGACCGAAGGGCAACGGCTTAGATCAAAGCCAATCCGATGGCCTACAGCCACACTGACCGCACATCCCCCGAGACCGAGACGTGATTGGCGCACGTCTTTCTGAAACTAACGGAACGCCAGCGCACGTCTCCTCAGAAAAAACGGCAGCGGCACATCTTTTTCAAATTTGAAAAAATGTCCGCTATCGCGCCCCCAAGTGGCGTGCTTTTTTGAAATTTCGAAGTAACGCGCGCGCCGCCACATCCATCAGCATTTAGACAGGCCGGCGTGCTTCCCGCCTAAATGGAAGCTCGAAAAGCCCAAGAAACCCTGACAACGCACCTCGCGCCAGCAGAACCAAGATTCAAAGTGCAGAACAAATCTACCTGACACCTCGCGAACTCCCCGCACTAGGGCAAGACCCTTAGCACGAAGAGTGGGGGGCAATTGATGAAGGAAGATTTGGCCCGACCTCGCAAAATCACGCCACGTGGCAAAAACAAGTAGCTCGGCACTTACCGAGGGAACAAACACCAAAGGGAAGACCAGCGGTCCGAACTCCCTACAAAGTGCCTGAACTCCCTACTTAGAGCTCGAACTCCCTACTTAGTGTTCGAACTCCCTACGAGGAGCCCAAACTCTCCCTTTGGCCCCGAGTCGCACAAAGCAGAGACCCGAACTGGCCCGTCCTATTACAGTCTAGGGCCCCCCTTATCCGAACTCAAGACCGCCTCACGCACCGCTCCGAGCACTTCGCTTCTGGAGCATTGAACTGTACGAACCACACCGTACCTGACACCGAAGGAGTCCGTATCCAGGGGCGGCGCACCTGACTGACTTGGGATCTGATGCTTGACGGTTGCATTTCAAATGGCCACCTGCCACCGTCACCTGTCAATCGCTACCTCCAGTTACAGAGACGGCTTCGACAAAAAGAGCAGTGACGGTTCTGCCCCAGCAGAGGATATGACGCCCGAACTGGCAGAAGCACGGAAATACTCATTCCCGACCTGACAGGAGTCTAGAAGTGAGTGCGCGAGGTGGTTATAAAAGGCTCTCCACCCCCAAAGAGGAGGTATGCAAACTTTGCGCTATCTGGTTTTACCTTGCCTTTGAAGGATTCTAACTTAAGCTTCGGAGCCTTTACACCGGGTTCCCTCCGGAGCTTCCTCGTCTTCTCCGTTTTAGGTTCTCTGCTACTCAGTTCAGAGGCAAGGTATCCAGATAACGGTGCCATGCACCACACACCACATCTTGAGTATCTTCAAAATGATATGATTACACTGGTCTAGGTCAAGTGAAAGTGGGGAACGACACAGGTTTGCAGATATCTCATGTTGGGAGTTCCATTTTATCTTCTAACTCTCATAATTTTTAGTTGAATGATTTGTTTCATGTGCCATATCTGTCCAAAAATTTACTCTCTCCTACTAAATTTACATAAGATAATGACCTCTTCTTTAAATTTCATGGAGATTATTATCTTTTGAAGTATACGAGGAGAACAATATTTCAAGGACCCAGTAGGGACAGATCATATTGTTTTCTGGGTAGCACCTTAATTTAGCGTAATGGACCAACAACATTAGTTGGTGAATGCACCACCATTCAAGGATGACATCAATAGATGGGTCACCTGCTAGGCAATGTATGCCCTTAGCTCCAATTAGAAAGATGTACGTCAACATTTATTTGCAAATAAATAAAGTACATTGTTATTTCATGTATTACCCCTAAAACTATATAGTTATGAGACTCGTATTAGTTTAGAATGTTCTTAGTCATTGGATAGACTTTGAGAGTTTATCCTAATGAGAGTAACACTAGTGTGTTACCAAATAGTTAGAGCAGTTTGTCTCAGTTGTTAGGGTTAAATTCCAAGCATAGATAATGGGTGTTTGCTAGAAGCACTGAACCCAGACCAATTTCCATTTATGCCCTATATCTTGAAAATAGATGTTAAAAACTAGAATGTTATACATAACCCTAAACTTGATTATGATACTGTACTAAGTAGTGAATTGGGCTGCCTTTGATATGCTAACCAATGAGATCCATCGATGGTCAAATACCTGGGCATGTAGAGACAGTTTAGTAAATTACTTGAGTGGATGATCATAGTGATAAGATCGACCCCTTTGTTAGACAAAGTAAAAATTAAGGTTTACACTTTCTCTGATAGAAACCTAAATTGCTGGCAATGGATTTCACCTGTGTTTGAAATCTGTTTTTGCAAAATATATTTATATATTATATTATTATTTTATGAAAAAGATTTGCAAAAGGTTTTAATTACAAGATCCATCTAAGTAGAGACTAAGTGTAACTGTGTAAGATACTATTATAGGGCTGATTATCCTTGGGTCTTCATAGGGTGGCTGAATCCAATGATCATTTAGATGTAAATGTGGAGCCCAAATTGAACCAATGCTGATTGGATTAGGGGTTCACTACCATGAATAGTGAATTCAGCCTAGCCTATTTCAAGGGTGGGGCAGAAGCTATGTGGGCTTATGTGAAATCATTGTGGGGCCCCATGTCATACAATATTATACCTAAACTGGCCATGCAACACCTAGGGTTGTGAGTCTTTGAAGAAAATGGGCCAAAGACCCAAAATTAATAAGATTAATTAAGTCGTTGTGTGCTCTATGTTGAATTTGGGTTTGGTATTAAGTATGGAGCATCTATCCTCTTAATATGATAAGACTTATCTCTTAATAGAATTCAGATCCACATCAGATTTGGATAATTTTCTAATTAGATTAGGAGAATCCTTTAAAAGGAATGTTGTTACCATGGTTACAATAGAGGTAAGTCCTTTAAAACACAAACCTACTCTATAGTATCATAAAAGTGGTAAGTGTAATTGGGTTACATTGTTGATATTGCAAATAATCTATGCAAAGATAAACAGACTTTCATTCAACAACTTCCGACTTCTCCATCAATTAACCGAATTGAAGTTCAACACCTATACCCTCTTGAAGTAGTAGGATGCCCAACAATGGACAAGGTACATGGGTGGTCCACGTTTCAACCTAATTGAAGTTGAAATAGAAACAGAGTAAAGAGAAGATTTCATTTGTATTCTTCAATGGAACTCCATTAATATTTAAGATCTTTTTTGAAAGGGCAAAAGAACGACACGAAGTTAATGAAGGGGAGAGTCCAATTTGATGTTGAGGCTCATAAATTAAGTGTGGTATTAAGTATTTTATGGTAAAATGGTACTTCACTAAAACAACAACAAAGTAGATTGATAGAAAACTACCAACCTAAGGCATCAGACCAAGAGAAATGGAAAGAATCACAACAACTACGTACACAAACACAAACACAACAAAACAACTAATCTATATAAATAGATGCGTGGTATAGGAAACTAACATGATAACATAACAGACCAACAAGAAAGAGGGATTGATATACATTCCCCAGTCCAAATAACCATGAGATGCTACATATGAGCAATTTATTTCCATCTTGACGCACAAAGTGAAAGTTCTATGTTTCAAGTCAACAAAAGCTGCTTCTTAACCTTATTAAGTCTTGCGGCAACTTCACCCATGGTAATCCTCTCTTCAGGTAATTCTCTTGAACAGTCTAGACTTAATTCCATGATGGAGACAAAGATTTGTCGTTTCGTAGGTGAATCATTTTCTTCATTGCCAATAAAATTTTTGTCCATGATTTCCATTAGTTCACTTGGAAGCGACATATGTACCCATCTTCTTAGGCTCAAGTCTCCAGCAAACATTTCATCTGTAGGCTTCTTTCTTGTAAACACCTCCATCAACAAGATCCCGTAGCTATAAACATCACAGCTTGTGGAAAATCTTCCTTCCGACCCATATTCTAGTTGCACCATACATAACCACGAAACAACAACTTAGAAACTCTGGCATATGGCTTTTCAATTATATTAATAGTAAATAATTTTTAGTTATAAGCCCCTACAGTGACGAGAAAGGTGAAATGATTAATCAGGAACCATTAAATTACATACCTATTAATCTATTATCATGCCTAATATGCAATCATCAGCATCTGAAATAGCAAGAAAAGTTGATGTTGATTCAATAAGGAGGTATTGGATTAGGATCCACCTAAAATAAATGGACACCCGGTTGGTTTTTGACGCATCTCTTGATCACACAAATTTGATTGTATTAAACCTCCCTGACATTTTTGCTAAATATTAGGACCTCCCTTTCTCTTTTCTAAATGGACTAATATCTCAGTCTCTTAGATGTTTTAGTATTGGTTATTTTAACATAACAATAAAAAGATAAATATGCATATGGGATTAATAGTGCAAATTTTACATTAGTTTTTTTAATGCAAATTTTGTATTACGATCGATCATCATCTTCATCCATGCCTTATCCCATCTCAATGGGGTCAATTATATGAACCATGTTTTACCAATCCATTCTATTTAACATTATATCCACTGTTAAATTATTAATGCTTAAATCATTTCTTACTACTTTTACCCATGTCCTTTTTGGTTTACCCCTAGTTTGTTCCACTTGTAACAAATCATTTCTTCTAACCAAAGTTGTTAGTGGTTTTTTATGTGTATAATCAAGCCATCATAACCTATTCTCTCTCATTTGATCACTTATTAGAGTCACTTCTAAATTTCTAGTGATAGCTCCATTCTTGATCCTATCCTTTTTATTTTTTTCACTCATCCATTTGCATTTGCATTTCTGACACACTCCTTTTTGAACATGCTATATTAACAACGAGTGCAAAATAAGATGAATGCTCAAATTCCTTGTTAGATAGGAGTATCTGTCAAAATTAAATTAGGTTGAAAAACAATAATAATTCTGCAGAACAGTTTAGTAGTACACTATATGTTTGTCAGTAGTTATTCTTAGGCTTGTGGATTGCATAAATGGTTTTTGGCAAACCAATTCCTAGTTTGGGGCTTGGGTAAACTCTATCTTAAGCTAAAAGCTTGGGCCCAACCCTTAGGCTATCTAGGGTGACTTGTTTAGGCTTACCTTGCTAAAGTTAAACACGTTATGTTAATTTTAAAGGAAAAATCTATAATGTCCGAAATACATGATACCAGAAAAGCTTTTCCAGTCAAAACCACCGTAAATTTTGTTGAAAATCCACCTGACCTGTTACTACTTTTATTTTAGTTGATTGCTTAAATTTTTTCATGCATTGTTTTTTCGGCATCATAGTCGAATCCTTATTTAAATCAAGGTTACTTGAAACTCAACGTCCATAGATTATTGCATCAAAAGGAAGACCCTTTAGATTTTTGTCCACTTATTAACTAAACGATAGTCTAAACCAATTGCTCTTCAAGCCTATGTGCAAAATATTACATCTATATAATATTTTATATTATATGAATATAAATTTTGTTTTATACATTAAACATAACAAAAAATATACTATATTTGTAAATATGTATGATATATATAAATTACATATACATAAATATGTCTGAGTTGGGCCTCAATAAAAAGCCTAGCCCAAGCCTGGACTTTTCTCCAGCTGGGAAAGAAATGATTACCTAACCTTAATTCCCTCCCATATAAAGACATTGACTTCATCATTTTGCTTTCATTCTTTTATTGATACTACATCAAAGCTGGTCGCATATGAAGTTCAATGACCTACCCATGGGAACACCTTGCCTTATTTGTGACCATCTCTAACTACACTCTAAGATCTGCTGCTTGTCATGATGTGTCCCATGTGTATAGAACACACCCAACAACGATTTTGAAGCCCATTATAACTTATACACAACATGGCAAACAGAAGATCGGGTTGGATCAAGGATCCCCATTGTGCTCTCTAATTAACTTATACACCACATTGTTCTTATTCTTGTTCTAATTCCTACAAACAAACTACATGAAGTAAACGATGGATTGTGGCTCAATTGGTATAGGGGTGGCAATTTTTCACCCAACCCTCTTATTTACTTGGCGGGTTGGAAATGGGTTGATTATCCAATCTGTCCATTTAAATGGCTTATGTTGGGTTGGGTTGTGGATAACCATTGGGTTAACCACTACAGATATAAGTATTAATTTCTTAACCTTTTTTTTTATTTTTTTCATTTGAATGAAATACATTATAATTAATGCATTAATTTTCTATTAATTATTGACTAAATTTAGTTGTCTCAAATTAACACAATCAATTTGACCCGAGTCCGGACCAGCTTAACTTGGTCTAAATATGAACAAATCAAGCACCTCGGTCTGGTTCGTTTGGGTCGACCATCCCAGTCCAAACTGACCCGATCCAGGTCGACCCGAATCAAAAACAGGTTCGGACGGGATGGTTTGACGCCCACTTGTTTTGCCTGGTTTGGACCGTCTGGCTCGACCAATATTCAAACAACCGACCCGAATCTGGACCAATCCAATTTACTTCTCTTGACCCACTTCGGATCAGTTGGTTCGTTCCCAAACTTGTGCACAAACCTAATAGGGGTGGGTCCAAGTCAATCCACCATTAACTAAACCGGTTTGGTCTGGTCCAACCGGAATGATCCAGATCTAAACAGTTCAACTACCCTTGATGTGATTAGCTTGAAGATAATCCAATTAGATAGTTCAAGTTGGTCTATCCAGTTTGAATCTAAGTGGTTCGGTCAAACCCAAAATCAAACATAGTCAAATGGCTTCGCCGCTTGTTTAAAACTAACATGCATATAATGTGATTTAAACTTTCACCACTTGTGTAAATAGCAATTACTATTACCACCAAACTATAACCAACTTTTTTGTCAAGAGAGCGAGTTAGTTTCTTTTTTAAGTACATAAATATAAGATTAATGGGTTTGGGTGGGTTGGATTGGGTTAAAGTGAATTTGGGTTGAACCCAACCCATTTAATTTTATATAAATGGGTCTTTTGGCGAGTTAGATGGATTGGGTTGAAGCTCAACCCAACCCAAACCCGCCAAATTGCCACGCTAAATTTGTGGGTTCTTTAGCTTGTTCTAGCAGACACTAGGATCAATCCTATTGCCAACAACGGGTTGGGGGATGGGCTACCCCTGTTGTTCAGACCTATGAAGCTAAAAAAGGTAGGAAAAAAAAAGAAAAAAGTAGACCTTCCCAATTACACTCCCCTTGGAGCAAATTAATCAAGACCAAGCTATTCCCAAAACGAATATCCCAGTTCAATCAAGCCTAAAACCAATATCTCGGTTCAATTAAGAACAAACTACTGGTCTAGCCTCCCTTTTAAAACGTTCCATGAATTGATGATAAGCACCATTTGTCCCATAACCATATGGGACGGTGATTTAATTTATAGGGAATGATGATGATGATGATGACGACGATCATGATTTAGAAGGAGCAAAACATATATATTGGCTATGCATTGTAATAACAATGTATTAATGAGATATTTTGTATATGGAGAAGTAGAATTCTTACCAGGTGCAATGTATCCTATGCTTCCCAGGGTCTTGGTTTGCACTACAGATTGATCATTTGCACTTAATATCTTTGCAATGCCAAAGCCACCCACATGAGCTACCATGTCTTCGTCAAGGAGGACGTTACTGGGCTTCAGATCACAATGCACCACAGGCTCCGATTGGTTGTGATGTAGATACTCCAGTGCCAAGGCAACGTCAATCATGATGTTTATCCTTTGGAGGAGATTCAAGAAATAGTTCTCGCAGTACAGCCATTTTTCAAGGCTCCCTTGTGGCATATATTGCATTATCAAAGCTCTAAAATCAAGATTGGAACAACTGCTGATTATTTTGACAAGATTTCTGTGTCGAGCATTTCGCAACACTTGACATTCTGCATCAAAACTCTTAATTGCTCCTTCAATTTGCAGATTCAAAACTTTCACAGCAACAATGATTCCATCAGACAATATAGCTTTGTATACTGAACTGAAACTCCCTGTTCCAAGCAAGTTTTCATGATGGAAGTTGTTTGTTGCTTGAAGTAGCTCATAGTAGGAAATCATTCTATGTTCCATTGCATGTAATGAATCAACGCTTGGTGGGACATTCTTCTTTTCCATTCGACGTTTCAACAGCAGAAACAAGAGAGCAAAAAGGATTGCAGAGGAAGCAATTATAGGGAGGACAAATTTAAGCAGACGAAATTTTGTCTTTCCTTTTGCAGGATAAATGGTACAGGTTGGAACTCCCAATTTTGATGGGCCACAAAGTACTTCATTCCCAAGGAAAGATTCTGCTGTCATGTTGGAAAATGGCCCTCCACTTGGAATTTCTCCTTTAAGACTATTATGTGATAGATTCAAGTAACTGAGAAGCGAAAGTTTCTCCATCGATTTAGGAATGCTGCCTGATAGATTATTAAAATTGAGATCTAGGTATTCCAAACTCACCATATTTCCCAATGATTCTGGAAGAGGGCCTTGAAATGAATTTCGTGACAAGCTCAAATGGTTTAATCTTTGGAGGTCACCAATGGTACTTGGAATGCTGCCAAATAACTGATTCCTAGATATATCAAGTTGAACTAAGGTCTCCAAGTTTCCCACTGCTGCAGGTAGACTCTCATGCAAGGAATTATCTGACATGTTCAGAAATAAGAGATCTGGAATAGTCCATAGGCTTAAAGGAATTGGAGATGTTAACATATTGGACTGTATGTAGAGATTTTGTAGCACACGGAGATTCCCTATGCAGTTTGGTATTTGTCCAGAGAGTTTATTTCCAAGAAGTTTCAAATTTACCAATTTTGTCAAGGAACATATCTCATTTGGTATGGATCCTTGTAGGTTATTTCCTTCGAAGGATAAACCTTGAAGCTTCTTTAACCCTTGTATCGTTGACGGAATGGTCCCACTGATATCATTGTAATCAAAACCCAAAGCGATTAAACTGCTCAAGTTACCAATCCCTTTGGGAATACTTCCCCTAATTTGGCACCCTTCCATTGCAAGTTTTCTAAGAGAAGCTGACAAATTCCCGAGAGATTCAGGAAGGATGCCATTCAACCAATTATGATCTACGTTCAAAACTTCCAAGAACCTACAATTTGTTAGTGAACTGAGAAACACCAGTTCTGGAGAATCTGGTTGACTAGTTAGGTCGTTATGGGCCAAGATGAGAATTTGGAGTTGTTGCAGATTCCCCAACGATGTGGGCACTGGTCCACTGAATGAGTTTCTAGAGAGGCACAGAGTAATTAATTGGGAAGCATTGGAGATTGAAGCAGGTATTGGCCCACTGAGGCTGTTATTGTTTAGGTTCAATTCTTCAAGTTGGTTAAGCGAATGTCCCATATTTGAAGGAAGATGCCCAGACAGACGGTTATAACCTAAGTCAACCGATTCAAGAGTTGAAATGTTAAAAATCTCTTCTGGTATTGATCCCGTAAGACTACATGCTCTAAAGTTCAGGCATTGCAGATTTTGCAGATAACCCAATTCTCGTGGAATATTTTTACCAACCAGGTAGTTTTCACTCAAATCAAGAATCACCAGATTTGAAAGGTTACCTATAGATGGAGGAATAGTACCTGTGAGGAAATTTTGGTAGACAACTATGTACTTAAGGTTTGACAAGCTCCCAATTTCTCTGGGTAGGCTTCCAGTGAAGTTGTTGGCACGCAATGATAGAACTTCAAGCCTTCCACACCGACATAAACTTGATGGAATGGGGCCACCGAATTGATTCATGCCAAGGTAAAGATATACAAGGTTGGGAAAGCTATACCCAATATTCATCGGAAGGCCACCAGATAAGCTGTTATTTGTGAGATAAAAATACTGCAGAGTAGAGATGTTAAATATGGTGGAAGGAATGGTACCCGTTAGTTGGTTATTATCCAGACGTAATTCCCGCAAGTTAAGAAGATCTCCAATCTCCCATGGAATGCTTCCTTGTAGGTTGTTGCTGTAAAATGAAAGCACTTCTAGTAAGGAAGAGTTGCCGATGGAAGGTGGGATAGTGCCATTCAGACTATTATTTGCAATGGCTAAGACACGGAGATTAGGCAACATTCCAAGCTCTCTTGGGACACCACCAGTTAACTGGTTGAGTGAGAGTGAAATTTCTTCAAGTTTCCGGCAGTTTGACAAGCTGGGTGGAATCATTCCATCAAACTGATTCCTGGACAAGTCGATTCGTTTCAATCGAGATAAGTGTCCAAGTCCATTGGGCAAGTGTCCATGGAAACTGTTGTTGCTGAGGTCAAGTTCTGCAAGGAAGGAGAGGTTGCAGAGTCGCGGCTCAATGGTGCCTCCAATTCCCATGTTGGAAAGTTTTAAGGCGGTGACTCGTTGTCTAAGGTGGCTGCAAGAAACGCCTATCCAATCACAGAAGGAGGTGTTGGGGTTGGTAGTCCAATTATCAGCCAAGATGTTGTGAGGGTCAAACAGCAAAATCCGGGCTTTGAAGACTAGCAGAACGGATTGATCAGTAAGGTTTGAGGAATAGGCTGTGGCCAACCATGGCATGCATAATAATAAACATGACAAGGTGACAATAGAGATGGACATGGTGATAGTAGAGATGATAGAAAACTTTACGATGATCGTAGCCAGGTAGGTGCAGCTCTACGAGTTTGGGAATTTGAGCCGCATAGCAGCTGTGTATAAATAACAAGGAAGCTATAAGGAGTTAAGGAGTAAAACATTGGTTTTATCGTTTTCTTTGTAAGTTGTTGTAAACTGAGTATATAAATAACAAGGAAGCCGTGAATGGAGTTGGGGAGTAAAACATTTGGTTTTGTCGTTCTATTTGTAACTTGTAAGTTGTTGTAAACTGCGCCCATTCCCACGTGACTGTTGAGGGCAATTACTTGATCAGAGTTATCAGACAACAATTGTTATTGTTCTTTCCTTTTTTGTGCAATTGTTTAGACAATTTTACCTCCTCCCCCCAACCCGAGTGAAGTGAGACTCGTTCGATCTCCCAACCGGAAACGGAACCCGCTAAAGACTTTCTATGTGATTCATGAGCGTTTATAGATGGTGTATTTCTCAGATAAACAGTTAATTGAAAAATACTACTTTAAATCTTTATTGCTTTTGTTATTTAATTGAGAATAGCAAATAATATTCTATAAAGCCATTTTTCACTCCAGTTTAATATTTATTGCTTTTGTTGTTTGGTTGGGTGTTTTATGGGCCATTCAAGTTACATCTCCGTAAAGCTATTTTCTATCAGCTTACAATGTTTTAAATAGGGCTGTAATTGGATTGGACTCGATCAGATGTAACAAAATCTACATCTGATACTTTTATTAATTAATAGCATACTTTCGAATTGGATTTAAAAACTAAGATTCAAATCTGAATCCTAATGGATATTAGGATTCGGATCAGGTTTGGATTTAATCTGGCTCTGCTATGGATTTTTTAAATTATCAAAAAATTAAAAAAAAAAATTATTTATTTTTTAACCTTTATATATAATAAATGAATGTAAATATAACACATTAAATTTATTATATACATAAATTCACATATAAAATAACATATAGAATATATTTTTATAAATTTAAATATAATTATATAAAACTTATATATAAAATTAATAAATATTATATTATAATTGGATTCAGATTTTAATCGGATCGGATCGGACCGGAACAAATCCAAATCTGATCATCTGAATCCGAGATAATCGGATTGGATGTCGGATCAGGCCTCAGATTTTCAGTTACGATTGATAGGCCTAGCTCCTGATAATCATTTCATTTCAATAAACTAGGGCATTGGGAGAAATCAGAATTTGAAATTTTCCCTAACGCTTCTAGCACATAGATCCAAACGTTTTTATTTTTTACTGTTTATTTGACCAAACAGTGGTTTCATGAAAGCAATCAGTGATTTCATGCACAATAAATAAAAGCAAAGCACCTAAGTGGAGCTAATGTGGTGACATTTTTTCAATAAACCCTTGTGAAATCAAAGATAGACTTTATCAACAAGCTACCTAACACCTACTATTTTGGTTTGGTTATATCTTTTATTGATATGGTGAGGAGAGAACAAACGGCCTTATTCACAAGTCAATAGAAATTAAACAGTTATAATGTGCCAACTAGTGGTGGAAATTTTTACCCCACTTTAGTAAAGGGTCATTTTGGGTTGAATGACCCATTTGCGTAAAGCAAAAAGGGTCAAGGTGAGGTTGGGTTGAGGGTACCCATTGGGTCAAAGTTAACTCTCGTTCATTTCACAGATTTTAGAAGGGGGGAAAATCGGTCAATGAGATTTGATTCCCATTGACCAACTCTCTCATGTTCTTTTTCAAGATTTAGGTGGGACCTACGTTAAATGGCTTTCCCTTGGGTATCACTTACCCAAAAAAGCGTTACCCTTCTCCCACTTGGGAAAAATGCCCATTAAAAAGCGTTACCCTTCTCCACTTTCCCAAGTGGAGAGTAAATGCTCAAAATATAACATGTCAAAAATGCCCATTAAAAAAATATAAATCAAAAAGGATGGACCTAGACCCAAGGGTAAAAATGACAAAACATAGAAAAATTAACCACGTACCTAGAAAAGTGGGTGAGGCAAAAGAACATGGGGAACTTGAAATGTCTCATTTACCCGGATAAATTTAACAAAAAAGAACATGGGTAAATACACTTACCTGGGTAAATGTTTCTTGGGAAACACTTACCCGGGTAAGTGCACTTACCTAGATAAATGGCCTCTTTCTAAACGAACGAGGCCTTAGGGTTTGAGGCTCAAGTGGTAAAAAGAAGCTTCAAGAGAAATTTGACGATCTTTTAGTTGGATACTACTGCAACGACTGGTAGTCTGGCACCATCGATCTTGTCGCCATACCTTTGATCTCACCTTCACTATACATCAATCCTGACTTCCTTCTATTCTTCCCTCTTCTCATCGCTGTTGTCGTACCAGATCTCGAATACTTGGCTATTTGAGTTCGACTCGTTGAAACAGTGTTAGGCTCAAGCTCAATTCAAGCTAGAGATTTGAGCTCAAGCTTGCAAGTTCGATCTCGGCTTGGCTCGAGCTCGATTACAACCCAAGTTTTTTTCTAAAAAAATAATTCAATCCAATCCATTCATTAGCCATCCGTACACTGTAAACTAGCTGGCAACTTTTTATGGTAGAAAAAATAAAAAACAGAAAGTTATGAAAATTATATTATCAATTGCCAACTTAATTAGTGGGTGCATTTATCAATAACATTCAACAGGTCGCGAGGGAACACTCCAACATATTCTACTACGAGTAGGACGGGTTTAGACCATTATTCGGTCCCCACCAGTTGAATGATATTAATGAACCTACCCATCGAGAAGTTAGCATGTTAATAATCGGTATTTGAGTAAGGTACCGGATGGGTATGCATGGTACCTGAAAATCTTTAATCCATGGGGATATCTGCATGTCTTTTTGAGTTCATTTCGTAGGGATTGAACTGCTTTGATTAAGCAGCTTTGAATAAGTTGTTAATTGCAAGTTTGGGAGGGTTTTGCATTGAGTGAACCGATTTGGACAAGTTATTAAAAAATGGCTTTATTCTAAAGTTGATTTTTTCGACTCATGTAAGCATGCTTTTTCCTCCAGATTTTCATCAAACATGGTTGTTTCACGGCTTTCAGTGTAGGACCTATTCTTTTAACGTGAGAAATACTCATTTGAAAGGTCATTCAAAGAGATTTCATAAAGTGGACCTCACACAAAGCTTGGTGGAAATTAAAGCAATAAACATATACGATCCAAACTTGTAAATTATTCATAACACATAATGGGCACAAGACAAAGAACTTGACTTAGGCTGCATTTGGCATTCCTTATTTTAAGAACCTATCTTCTTTTACAATTAAAAATTTATTGCTTATAGGGACATTTTAACAACAAAAAGGAGATAAATCCTTAAAATAAGGAATGTAAAATGCAGCATTAGACTTCTAAAGTCTCCAATCCTCTTCCATCCCATCATTCAAACTTGGAGCTTGTTTGGAAGGGATTTTGGGGCATGGCTTCTGGCACTCTAAGCTCAACACTATGCAAGAACACCAAAGGTTGTGTTTGGTATAAAAAATCGGAAAGTTGATCACCGTGTTTTAAACACAAGAAACACAGATGGAATAAGAAACTATTTCATGTAGTATCTCCAGAACATTGGTATTCAACCATTGTCGATACAAATTAAATGTATTTGAATAAACCCAATATGGATACAAATAACAAAATAAATTTGTAATATATAAAAATACAAGGGATGAGACTCTCTTTGATTCCACTCGATGATATATATATATATATGTATTAAATATAATTTTTATCATAATTTTAATTTTTAAATTTATTTTGTAGTAATGCCACTATATTTTTAATTTAAATTTAAATCTTTTGAACCAATTGATAAAACCGAAAATTGACTCAAATTGATACAATCCAAGTTGATCGGCTTTCACTAATGGTCAGTCGATTTTGGGTGACTAACTCTCCAACCAGACCAGATCAATTTGGTTGGCCAAACAACCTATAACCAAACCAAGCCAAGACATTAAAACTCCTAATTTTAGCTAAATTAATAGTCTAGTCTCTAATAAATAACAATAGTTTAACCTCCAATAAATATTGAATTTTTTTGGCAAAAATACACAAATATCTCAAATAATAGTTTAGTCTCTAATAAATATTAATCAATAAATTATAACAAAAATACAACAAATTAAATTTAAAAAGTTAAATAATAGTAGTTTAATCTCCAATAATTACTGAAAACTTTCTATTAAACAAAAAACAAAAGTAGATTTATATATAATTATTTATATATTTATCACAAAAAACAATACATAATTACTGAAAATACAATAATATTAATTTTGTAAAATATTAAGTTATTATTAATTTGAGCATGATGTTATATTTAGTTGTTCTACTTTTAAGGAAAATTTTAAATTTCTTACATAATTTCATTATTTTAACTACTTAAAATCTAGTTATGTTAAATATGTCATTATTTAAAATATATAGTTATTTAAATATTTAAATAATATGTAAAATATTTAAAATTTTTTGTTATTTGAATGTTATTTATTTTAAAGTTATTATATAATATTAAATATTTTTTATAGAATTATTTAGATATTTTTAGTATTTTGTCATTTAAGATATTTAGTTATTGACATATTTAAATAATATTTTATTTTTTATTTTTACATTTTTATTATTTGAATAACATATAAATTGAGTAATCGAAAAATTCATAAAATCATAATTTATATTGTTAGTATATAATTTTGTGATGATATTTG